CCTTTTTGCATTTAAAAATATGTGTGAGCAACTAAAAATTTATAATAGATATCAACAACAAATTTAACAATTTAGATTAATTCACTTTGATTTTGTATAATTTGAGTTTGGTTCGGATAATTTAGTATATAAATTGTTATACAAATTCAGACATTATATAATTCGGTTCGAATTTGGATTGGTGAATTTTGATTTGATGGTTCAGTTCAAATATTTTGTTTATCATTTGGTGTAATACATTCTTATATAAAATAATAGCAAATTCAAATATAGACAAACATATCTCGGATTTCGTATAATAATAATTTTCACATTAGTTAAATTTTATTTTTAACTAAAATTATCAAATTCGAATAATAATTCCTGCATTCACTAAGATTGATTTTAGCTAAAAATAAAACTATCCTAGTTTTAATTATAGTCAAAGTAAATCCTCTTCGCCTACCTTCATATTCATTCTCATTTAATTCTCCAAATGTGAATTTACTTTTATACACTGCCTTCTATATTAAAATTCACATTTTCATTTTATTTTAGATTTTGTTATCCACCGATTTAAATTGACTATCCAAAAATTAGTTTCATTGTAAGTGAGATTGGACTTCTAAATGAATCTAGAGAGGTCGCTAAAGATGAGACAAAGAGATACTACTAAATTTTGGGCAATTGCGTACTACATCTATTGCTTTAAGAAAGAATCGTTTTTTCGAAAGCTATGCAACCATTCAATCAAAAATTACTCAAAACTATAAGCTGAAATTTAAATAGTTTCCGTCAATGTGTTCATCTTTATTAAACATAAAATAATTTATTAATGCAATCAAACATAATTATAAAGATATTGGATAGAAGATTGTTTAACAAATGTTTATTAAATAATATCCGAATTTCTAATTAAAATCATTGATGCTATCAAACAAGCATGATCAAAAAAATTTCCAAAAAAAATAATAAAACAGCTAATTTAATAGATTCAATTACTTTTAAAACAAATTCTGCATACGCAAGTATTCATCTAGTAATCTTTAAATTATTTGTTGTCAACCCCAATTTCTCTAAAAACATCGTGTATTCACTTACAACCCTATGCGGAATATAAAAATATTTAACAATTTCGAATA